CCACCCTGCCCCTCCTCCACCTCTGCCGGACCCCGTGGGGGCTGAGTCTTGGGGCAGCGGTGCCCTGGAAGAGCCTCCTTAGCCACGATCCCCAGTGCCCGAACTGACACCATCTGTCAACTTCATTTAGACAGTGCCGCCCTCAGCCACACGCCAGGGTGCCAGACGTCCCAAGGTAACGTGCCAATCCTGGGTCTCTGCCTCTCCCTTTCTCTCTCTGGCTGGACTGCAGGCTTCTGAGAGTTCATAGTAGAGGGCAAGCACTGGGCGCCCTTGAGCTGTGGCCCCGGGGTAGTTATGAACATATTTTAAGCTGAGCACTGGGGTTTGGGTGGAGAAACCCGGGGTAACTTGTAGAGAATCAGGACACTTGAGTCGGATGGACTCGCTTTAATTTGCTTCCACCTTCCACTGACTTGTCGTGTTCACTTCAAGAAGAAAGGGTGGTGGAGAGAGAGAGAGAGAGAGAGAGAGAGAGAGAGAGAGAGAGAGAGAGAGAGAGAGAGAGAGAGAGAGACCGACCCCCAGGTGAGGAGATAGCAGTGCTTATCGGCAACACTGAAGGTCCGCACAGCTGCCAGTGGGTTTATAGCGTCAGTCTTCCGGTGCCCCCCCCCAACTCCCGTGCCATGGTCAAGCTCACTTCGTCCGAGAACACTCCCCCAGTTGTGTCTTATTCATCTCGGTAAGAGTAGGCTCCGAGAGAGATGGCCCTCGGGAGAAATCATTCCAATGAGACCCGACAGTTAGTTATTGGATTACACGTGCGGGGAAATGTAGTCTGACCCCGGACAGGGGCTGCAAAGAGAGCTGGAGACTGAAGCAGGCCTGGCCACACAAGAGCTGGTGGCTAGGCCCAGAGAGACAGAAATGCCCACCAGGGGAGCAAATGCGAGGCGCTGCAGTGCACACTTCTGCATCGCCCCCCGCCCCCCCCCCCGAAAGCACTGGGTTGCCATGTGTGCCGGAGAGTCTGGGAAGGTGGGAGGGCAAGGAGGAGGGTGTAGGGACCCCAGGAAAGATGCAGCCAGAGTCTTGTGGAGCGGGAGTGGGGTCCGCTCCCCCCCCGGGGGGTGGGGGGGCTGCACCAGCTCTCAGTACCCTGGTGCATGGGGAATGCTCCCAATGCAGAGAGCTGGTGGGTCTGAGGAACAGAGGAAAGGGCGGGTGCGGGGGGAGGGGACTGGCCCCAGACAGTGACCTGAAGTTGAGTGGAAGCAGGCTTTTTCCATCAAACCCTGCCTGGATACCACACACAGAGCCCGAGTGTCAGTTTACTGCCCTGAGCCCGGCTCCTTTTCCCTAAGCTCCGCAGTAATTAGACAAAGAAAACCTAAATTAGCTGAACAGGCGTCGACAGCTTCCTCCAGAGCACCCCTGGTACCTACATGGGAATGTGTCCGAAAATGGCCCGATTGTAGCCGGCAGTCAGCTAAGAAAACACGGCCGAGCAGAACTGAGTGGACCGCTCATTTGCAAGAGAGAAAAAAAAAAGAAACAAGTCGCTCTTTTCCGGAAGGGATGTTTTGATTGGGTTGGGGGTTGAAGTTGTTTCGACTTTCTAAGAATTTCTTTTTGACTGACGACTGAACAGTTGGGGGGCAAGTCCCCATTTATTTCAGGCTGGTTTCCCCCTCATCCTCTTTTGTCATTTTTGCCTAGATTAATTTTATGATGCGGTTTAATATGGAAGTAAATATGTGCTCATTAAACCCAAGTTCTAAGTGTCTGAAAATAATTATTTAAATGAAGTAGAAATTGGGTGTAAAGGATGGTATTGGCCTAAAGGAGCTCCACGGCAGACTTCAGTGTTCCGTAAATGTGTTTGTGTGTGAATGTGTATGGAGGTGGGTAACGCACTGGAAGAGTGGGCAGGCAACAGGCTGGGAAACCTTGTATGAAGTTAGTGTTGTGCTCACTCCGCTGCTGTGCACCTGTTCTGTTTTCTGCACCTGGGGAGTCTACGAATCCCAGTTCCCATGGCACTTGCTTTAAAACTGGCCTTAAAGGTAAGAGACCGAAGGCGCTAAACCTTTTAAAATCATGGCAAAGTTTAATAACCTTCCATACCATTAGCTCCAGTTTGGGAGCCAAAGGGTCCTTTTATAATGGATACCTGAGATTTTAGGAGTGTTACAAATACTCCTATTTTTAACCCCTATTTTAAAATATAGTTGTTGTTTTTTTTTTTTTTTTTAAAAAAAACCCTTGATGTATTTTTAGTTTCTACTGATTCAACTGGTTAAGTTACAAGAGGCTTTAAGGGAATTCCTTTTATCATCCAGGTATCAATCATGTCCCAAGATTCTCTAAGTCTGTAAATCTCTCTTGCAGTCTGCAGCAGATCTGTGGCAGTGGACAGTGGGGGGGTCTGCAAACTTGAAATCTACTTCTTCCTAGGGCTCTATACACTGACCCTTCCCAAGTCCAGAAAGGTGGGGAGCTTGGTGGGTAAGCAGTTGGTCAGGAAGAGGACTTCTCCAAAGCACTTTCTTGGAGATTCCACATCTAACCTGTTCTTTGACGGCGCTGCCTAGGGGCAAGCGATGCATCTGGCTTAGGGATGGAGTGGTGCTAGCCCCCCAGATTTAGTCTTCTTTTCTCTTTTTCAGCCATGGATATATCCAAATCTATTGGGTCAGAGAACACATCTGATAACAAATAGGTCAAAGTCTTCCTCCCTGCAATAGTTTCCGTTTCCGGTGATCAGAAAGGGTTTGTTTATTTGTTTGTTTAGTTTTGCTGGGTTGTGGGTAGAAGCAAAGGAGGAGATGCTCTGCCTGAGCCCCAGCCCCAGCCCCACCCAGGGCTAAAATGGAAGTCTCCTTGATCCACTTGCCTTGTTTAGAGCTCCCTAGGAGGTCCCCTCTCTGGTGTGAGCCCTTCACAGATTTTCATTCCCTGTAAATAACAAAAACCTTGACTTATTTGTTAAATGAAGGAAGTACAGGTATGATTCAGTCAAAGGATTCTAGACCAGCCTTGGTGGTGCTTCTTTGTAGTCAAGAAATACACAGCTCAGAGCAGTCCTCAGTCCATGGCTTTGGGGTTGGTCATCTGTCTCCATCTGGGCTGCGGGTTCCCTTCCCGTCCCACCCCTGCTCCAGAGCAAGGGAATGTAAACTCAGCTAAAATTGGGTTTCTCTGATTTTTGTTCTGTAATCTACATTTTATTCAAGGAAATCTCTTCATTATTGCGGTTTACATCTTTTCTTAGCATGCTTCCTTTGTTTCGTGGGTTTTACATGAATTGGTTTAGACTAAACCAGTAGAGATGGGAGAGACCTATCTACACTAAGCAGTGCTTAGGGGCATTTAGGACCTGTCCTGGGGGAGCTGGTTTGTTCTGCATCCCTCCCTTCCGTCAGCCTGAGCCTGAGTGGGGAAAGCCTCGTTGGAGGATACCCCACCGTTTTCACCCTGTGTTTAGGTACTAAGTCACCATGAGCAGAAGGCTTGTGAGTGCCCAAGATAGCTTTCTAATTGCTCCGGCATGGGGCTCCAGGTCTGTTCTGTGTGGTGGAGCAGAGATGAGACTCTTGCAGGCTGCCGCCGCGGAGGCCTCTCTGAAAAATCCGCCAGGAACAGAGTTGATCTTTTTGGCGTTAGGTGATTGCTGCAAGAAGCAGGGGTCGGAGAGCGAGACTTCAGCAGGAAGGTGAAGCCAGCCATTTTACACCTCCTCCGGAGTCTGTTCTCTTTCCTTGGTCCAGAACCCGTAGACACCTTGTTATGAAAGCCCAGAACCACATTTTATTTGGATCCATCCTTCAGCTCTGCAAGCGCGTGTGTTCAGGGCAGGACTCCTTTTTAACCACCTTCCTGAGAGATCAGCTCCACAGCTCCTGGCTGTAGGCATGACTCCATGACCCAGATGGCCAGGTCAGAGGTGATTGGAGAGGGAAGAGACAGAGCTAAATTACCAGACCCCCATGGGAAAAAAAAAAAAAAAAAAAAAAGGCCTCTTTCTGTCCCTTTCTAGATGGCCAGACTGAGGGTTCCACGAGTTATGCATTCCGGAATGTGGGAATGTCCCCATGAGCCAGTCCTCCGGCCTACAATGTACCCCGCTCCCCCCTCCCCAGGTGGGATGCGGGCTATGTTTAGGGGTGGAAGTGTTAGGGACGTAGGCCGGCACATCTCCCAAGGGGAGATGGAAAAAAAGCTGG